CATGGTATTTGTGGTAAGCTGCTCAAATAGTTTTTATAGCAGTAAGTGGTATAAATTTTAAATAAAACTTTCCTGTTAATAGCCTATTCTGCTAACGTTGGAAATATGGTATGAACTCAAAGTTCTAGTTCCTTAAAAAACAAACAACAAAAAAACATTAAGCCTTTTAATACAAATAAAGGTATACAAAAATTTATGTTGGATGAATTTGATAGCAGTGTGAATGCCAGAAAAGCAGGAGGCCCACAAGGCTGAAACTAGCTCCACCAAAACAGAAGCAGACAAAAGTTCAATGAAGGAGGGAAGTGAAGCAATACTTTCAATACTGCAAAGATGTGAAGGGTGCCCCTGGTTTCAGCAATAAAGGGCTGGAAATGCAAGCAAGAGCACTGTAGTGGAGGTCACTGTAGCTGGTCTGTGTTGGATTGAAGAGTCATGAGGACGCGAGGAAGTGGAAATGCAAGTATCCCAGCTGCTTCCAGAACCTGACTGTGAGAGGGAGGAGGAGACAGCTAGCTAGAAGCGACCAGGAATGAGGGGGGGATTTTTCTCTCCCACATCCCTTTTTATAATCAGAAAGTCTTCCATGTTTCTAGATTTTATTCAACAGCTATTTATTAGGTACCTACAACATGACAGGCAGTTCTGAGAGTCTGGGATAAATCAGTGAACACCTTTGCCATGGAGGACATTAAAATAATAAATTAGTATGTTTGGTGATGATAAGCATTATGAGGGAGGGAAGGTACAGCAAAGTCGGGGAGATCCAGAGTGCAGGGGGAGGAGTGCTGTGTAGGTGCATAAATGGGGTCAGGTTGGGTTTCTTGAGGTGGTGACGGTTAAGCAAGGACTTGAAGGAAGTGAAGGAGTTAGCCAAGCAGATTTCAGGGCAAGAGTGTTCCAAGCAGAAGAAAGAGTCAGAGCAAAGGCCCTAAGATGGGAATGTGCAGGCTGTATTCAAAGAACTGTGGGAACAGCCCGCGAAAGGGGAAAACAGGAGTAACCAATATAGCAAGTCCCTAAATATTAGAAGGCAGTGACATCCAGGACACAGGCCAAGGGATTCGCTAAAGTCAGGGAGGGTAACCTTTTCTCTAACACTGGAGGAAAGAGGGTAAGAAAGGAGGCAGAGAAGTCCGTAAGGAGAGAAAGGGAAAGCTGAGGGAGTTTATGCCCTTTTTTCCTGTGAGACAGCAGGTGGGGTTTTACACCAAGCATGGGGCAGAGGGGAGGCTTGCTTAAGTGGTCAAGATTTTAGAAAAGCCACTGTGGAGAATGGGGGAGTGAACTGAGCAGAACTGCTTGGACAGACACTCAAGACGGAATCCGGGGAGACCTAAGACTACACATCACTGTGGCACGACCTCTGGTGAGGTTTCTCCACCCGAGTAGAAATGGAGGGTATGGATGGCAGGAATAATGCAAGGCTGGTATTTGCATAGAGGGCCTTGTAGCATAATAAAAAATAATTCAAACCTGCAAACGCTAGTATGAGAATAGCTGAAGCGATGCATCCCAAGAGTTGCAGTGTAGAAAGGGAAGACAAAGAAGTAAAATGTGGAAGAGGCTCATGGTCCAGGAGCTGAGGTGGGAGATCATACAAAAAGAGACTACAACAGCGAGCGCTGTAAATTATCAGAGTTTAAGGTCTGAAGGCGAATCTGAGATCTTTGGATAAATCTGAGGGTGATGACATGTGAGATGTGGCCACAATACTGAGTCACTGGAACAGCATGACCCCAATGTTTGCTTGAGCTGCAGTCAAGGAATTTTAAAGTGAAGAGCAGTTACAAAGTAAGTTCAGCCAGCACAGACAATAAGTATTATATGGCAATACGAAAGCAGGGAAAGACTCTGACTGCAAATCATGAAACTACCATGGCATGGGAAGTACACTAAATTGTACTGAAAGAGAAAAGAGTTGGAGTTAACCTTATTTTACTGTATCTTCACAAATTGTAAACTGTAGGTTCTTTAAGGGTAAAGAACTAAATCTCTACATGCACTCTCAATTAACTGGTAATGAATGTCATAAAAGTGAGCATAAATGAATCACTGAGTCTTTAACCAAAAAGTCCAACTCAGTGAGAAGTCCAAGGCACCTTTTGCAGGTTTTTCCTACCAGTCACATCTGTTTTCATTTATCTTCTACAATGAGCTGCACCAAAAAAAGTTCTAAGAGTATGTATATTTATTCAGACACTTTTATAGACTCCAGAAATTCACCAGTATCTGTTCCAACAAGGCCATCTTTCAAAGAGAACTATGTGAAGCAGATATGCTACACCTTTCACTTCAGAGCCTTGCAAAATTATATATCAGTTTACAAGACCAAAGGGATATGCTAAAGGATATGCTGACTCCAGGAAAAGGCCTGCTGTGATTAGGGGTCTGGGGAGGGGTTTCCGAAGAAGGCAGGGGCCCATTGTTGTCCTTTATACTTCTGTATCCAGGACAAGACCATAGCAGGGAAGTGGGCTAGAAAGCTTTGGCTGTGGAGACTCTGTTGGCACTCTTCTTTGGGAGTTTATTCTCTGCACAAATTCAAAGTGGGAAAGGCGAAAGAGAGAAAAAAGGAAAACTGCATTCATATCAGCTCCTGAAAAAGAGAAACAGTCTATTCTGAGCCTTAGAAGCTGTAAATTTTTTTTTTAAGATTTTATTGGGGAAATTGGGGAAGGGAACAGTGTTGGGGAATTGGGGAAGGAGAACATTGTGTTTTTCCAGGACCCATCAGCTCCAAGTCAAGTTGTTGTCCCTAAGTCTTAGTTGTGGAGGGCACAAGCTCAGCTCCAAGCCCAGTCGCTGCTTTCAATCTAGTTGCAGGGGGGGGGGAGAGAAGCTGTACTTAATTGGATAAACTTTGGAAAACATTCATCAGAGCAGACCTGCACAGACTCATAAAATCTTGCCTCTAAAGCTGATTCACACTCAGGCCTGATTTTACCAAATGCTGAAATTCTATTTAACCACAATTCTTAAAGTCTTTTTTTATTAATAAAGCAACTTAAAAATGTTTAAACTCGGAAATATCTCCTCTTAATTGAGGCATGGTGTTTAAAAACAGACATTCTGTATTTCTCTCATATTAATGTAAAACAAACAAAAAAACCCCACTAGTTTCTGTTGTAGCCATTTTTTATTCAACCAAGTTTTAAAAGGAAAGCTGAATGATAAAAATAAAAAATAAAGTGTTATGACTTTTCTTAAAGAACCCATCTGAAAAAAATTTTAATTTTTCAACTTCAGAAGTTATAGGGATATCTTCAAGAAGAAATGGAGTTTGAACGAAGGCAAAGGACACAAAGAAGGCAGGCGTGTCACTCTGCAGGTCCTGCTCACATGCAGGATGTAGGAAAAGCCCGATTTACAGGCTCCCGCTGACTTCAGTTATCAATCATATCCCAGATTTGCTTTACAATGCCAACATGTGTGCAATTCTCATATTCCACCCTTAAACAGTACATTAACTCCACCTGCCTCCTAATCCAACAGCCATCCCAAGTTAATTAGAAAGCATCACCTCACTTAGAGAACACAAGCTCAGTTTTATTATGACTAAGCTAAGCTGACAAAATGCCAGCCTCTAAATGAAATATCCACCATTATATCACTTCGTGAGAGCGATTCGAATCCAGTCACCATGCTCCCATCCGACGCACACAGACCCATCTAGGACACAAAGCAACATGTTCGGTATAGCAGAACAGCTGCCTAGAACAGTAAGAGATATGTGAGCAAGGGGTCTGTTGACAATCTAATTTCAGCTCGCTCAGATTCCACAAAGATGACAGCCCGCAACCTCAGTCATGCGGCTGCAAAGCCTCTCCCACTGTCAGAATATTCCACGGTACTTCATCCCTGCATGCTGAGCTACTCCGAAAATCTATCCACCCAGTGCAATACACTCAGGCCTCCATACTGGTCCACTGGCCTTAGCTGTTCCCAGATCTGCCTAAGTGCACGAAAGGCATCATCAGGCCTCTGTGTCCAGGGCACCGGGCATGTGCCATGAATACGAAAACACAGTATTTCACCCCAACAAGAATGGAATCTGGAAAACACTTTACCTTGGAGGCTCGGTTAGCGATTCGCCAAGGAGAAAAAGTGATTTTGGAGTTCCATTCTGGTTTGAGGGCCGGGGGGATACTCCGTGTGGCCCGAACAATGACGAGCTTGCCCGAGCAGCCTCCCCACCCCCACAATCTGGCTTCTGGTGTGGCCAGCCACCCTGAAAGCTGCCAGGGCTGACAGTCGGTGCCTTCCAGCAACCGGACTTGGCTCCTAAAGGATTTGTCAGATCATCCTCCCAATATGGCTGCCGGAGTAATCCTGGGCTGCCGAGCTCCGCGACCACACCAGCCAGCTTCCCAGCTGGCCAGCCTCCAACAAGCCCCCTCCCTTCCCGTCGCTCTCCTCTCTCTAGTCCATGCGCCACTGGATTCCCAACCCCGCCACCTGACGCCCTTTCCTGCCTTCACCTGGCAAAAGGGCACAGCCACATTCCCAGCCAAAGCCCGATGCCAACCACAATGGGGGCGAGAGGATCGGGTAAATAAGAAAGGGGGGCTTCAAAACGGAGCAGCGCCGTCTCCACAGAGCTGCAATGTGCGCAGAGAGCCCCGGGAAAACCGACAGACAGCGGCGGGCCTGCTGACCGCTGGGCCCACCCGGAGCCCCGCACACTCGAGGGAAACGGAGGGCTAGCGAGGGGCACTGCGGGGGACCCAGCAGGCCGCTGGACCCAAGCCCGGGGCTCGCTGCTGGCCCAGGGAGGGTCCCCCGCTCCCGAGGACGAGGCTCCCCACCCGCACCGGTGCCCCGGTGGGGCAGCACTCTCAGTGCTCGCCGCTCCCGCCCCGCCCAGCGCTTCCTCTGCTCGGACCCGCCCGGACCCCGGCCTGGACCCCGGCCCGGCCGCCCATCCCCCCCGAGAGGGGGCCGCTCCCCAGCCCGGAGGCCGCAGCGGCAACCGCCGCCCGCCCCGCCAGCCGCCTTACCTCAGCCGCGCTGCGGACCCACAGGCTGGCGGGCCGGGTCAGCAGGCGCCGCGGCGCGCGGGGGCGCGGGGGGGCGGGCACCGACGCTCCTCAGCACGAGCAGCGGCCACCGCGAGCCGCAGGGTGGCGCTTCGCAGCCCCATCACGCAGCGGCCCGGTACCGCATCGAGGGCCGTGGGAGGCCGAGGCGCGACGACAGGGCGGTGCTGGTGGCTGCGGCCGGCGGGGAGCGGCTCAGACTCGCGCTGACGCCTCCCAGGACCGCCGCCGTCTGACTGCCTCGCGTCAGTCCCCGCGAACCTCTGCCCGCAGCCGCAGGCGCGGGACACCGCCCCGAGCCCAGCCGCCGTGCGTCACCTAGGCCCGCCCCGGCACCCGTGACTGACGTGGACGGCAGCCAATCGGAGCTCAAAACTCGAGGCAGTTGACCAATCGCAGTCGGAGAGCTGGAGGGGGAGGGGATGCAGTGGGGAGCTGCGGAGACACCAGGGCTCCCCCTGGCGGCCCAGAAGCCGGCGCGTGTGCGGGGGAACGGGGTGGGCAAGCCCGCTCCTAGAGTCTCCTCCCGAGTGACTCCCGAAGGGTGTTAGGCGGCAGCGGCCGCGCCTGGCCAACCGGATGATCCGCTTAGTAAGGGGACAAAGCCTGGGTGAGTGAGGCGGGGCAGGACTCCCCCAGTCAACGGCGGAGGAGCTGAGATGAATGCGGGAGGCGGTCGAGTGTGGTATCATTGTCAGTTTGGGAAACATCTCTCACGTTGAAGCCGCCGAACACGGCGGAGTCGTAACTGAAACACGCAAAGGGATGAGTGTATTCTCCCGCAGAAAGCGTCCTGGCCTATTCTTATCGAGGCGGATCACAACACCTCCCACACGCCACCTTGGGAAAAAAAGGCGGAATGAGTAATGGAAAAGCATGAGTTAGTGGGCATTCAACTTGTCTCCTTGGGAGACCGAGTAAGGGCCGTGAGTAACGGAACAAAATGCTTTGTATTGCCCCTGAATTAATGAACCCTTGAAGGAGGATTATTGGAATTCAGAAACCCGGAGAATACAAGAGCTCCAGTAGCGATTTTTAAAAGTCAGGTTTCGATTCAGCTCAAAAGAAAAAGCCCAGAGCTACTTATGAGCGATCCAGTTCAGTACTTCATAAAATATAATATTCAGCGGTAATATGTGTGATTATCATGCCAAGCACTGTTCTTTTACAAGGTTGTGAAACGCGTTTTTATTTACTAGCAGAAATTGAAAATAAAATCGGATTTCCCCCCTGACTTCAATACAGTATCGGGTGTGAAAAGCCTTACTTGTAAGCATAGACACCAAAACATCAAAATTAATTTTCTACACTAACGATTTTGGAAAATCTCCACCCCCCACTAAAATCCTCATAGTCTCCATAAAGTCAACATGTATTGAACATTTCTCATTTTATTTAGAATTTAAACTCCGCCTACCCAGATTTGACATAGGTTACACATAGCAGCATACAAACAATAGCATTAAAATAAGAGTAAAATTAATAATAATGTAATAAAGGCTGTATGGAGAGAAGCCTGTATGAATAGGGAGTGCATAGAAAGAAAAATAATAAAACAAAGGCAAGGGAATGTGCTTCCGTTGAACACAGAACTCAGTTCTTAGCTTCCTGAAGGCAAAGACAAAAATGAAACTACAATGGGTTAATAAACAGAAGTTCATCAATTCATCAGTAGACTTTTTCCCAGCTTGAAGCTCTTTGTGTAAGTGCTATGATAAGCACCATGGAGAGTTACAGAAACCTGAATGGTAGTTAATATTGTTTGAGCTCTCAAGGGAGATCAAACTAAAAAGAATCTAAAATAGTGAAGGGAATGCAGTGGCAATCAGCACAGAGAAGGGTCACTATAGGCAGATAAGGCTGTTCTAGATTTCAAAGCCAAAATAGCTTGCTTTACATAAGCCTTTTGCCCCTCTGACAGATGAAGTCACTCTGCAGAGCCACTGAGTTTCTCAGATTACAGATTGTGTACAAAGGCATCTCTTAAAAGTCGTAAAGTATTAGAAAATTGAATTTAGCCATGGCCCGATAGACTTATCCCTGGAATACAAGGAAAGAACAACATGAAAATATCTATTAATGTGATGCACACAGCCACACTACTACATCTAAGAAACTTTCTGGATACAAGATCAAAATACAAAAAATCCAAAGTGTTCTTTTTCCTTAGGAATAGCCCATTAGAAAATGTGATTTTAGGGCCGGCCGAGTGGCGCGATGGTTAAGAACTCGCTTGGGATGCCAGAGGGCCCCAGTTCGGATCCCACATATGAGGGCCAGTGACACTGCC